TTCCTGCTTTTATTTCTTCATTATTTGAAGCTGAAAGAAGTCAAGAGCAGCTCTGACAAAGAAACCCAGTTACATCAACAACCAAAGTAAACATTTAGCTTGTCATCCCTTTTCTGAGGTGCTTACAATCCAAGAAGAAAAAGTAACAAGTCCTTACCCAAGAAAGTAGGTTTTATACAAAGTTTCTGATCATGAACCAATAAAATCAGTTGTAAAGTTTCATTTTGAACTGACTTCACTGAACAACTCCAAATAGAAATCCCACTCACAACTCTTCATTCACAAGTAGCATTTGCAACACAAGGTCATAAATTAAGCAATGAAAAAAGGAAGCTCAGCAATACATTTTGGAGTGTAGTGGTAGGCTTTTCAGGTTCACACAGACTCCTGTAGTAGCTTTGGTCCAGTTTTTAACTTATCTTAACTTCTAATTTCTAATATGCACAATGTTGCAGTACCTGAAAGCAAGACTGCATACTAGAGAAGAAAAGGTTTTCTGAAAACCTGCCCATCTGAGAGAATCCCCAAAGGTTTCTTAGTACTAACTCTACATAATATCCAAGGGATTTTTATTTATTTACTGTTGAGTTTTTAATTTGTAACTTTATGGCCTTTTGTAATAGAAATGGACTAAAGAGAAAAAACAGAGAAAAGACAGTGAATATACTCCTAGGATACTATTCAAACCTGTTTTGCAATGAAATTAGTAATACCCAAAAATACCTCCGTATCTCCTTCCCTCTTCATAAATGAAGTTTTGAAGAACAGTATTTCCATTATAGCCATCTATCTTTGGCATGAATTGCCTGCATTTCCCCTAGAAATATCTTAAGATGGCCTATCAATTTCCAAGCACATTTAATAGGCAGAGGTCTCAAGATGAGACTGCTACCAGCTCAGTCAGCTGGCAGAGAGGGCACGGTTTGTGCCACAGCTCTAAGAAAGCTGAGGAGAAGACAGAATCACAAACTTGACCGGTGGGAGTTCATACGAGTCATCACAGAAGAAAGTAATAGAGCGAGAGAAAGAGATGCAACTATGTGGGACATCAGGCCTTACTACATGCAATATTTTCTTCCTTCTCTCCAACCCCTGCCCATAAACTCTCTAAACACACGTGGAAAAATATTACAAGACAGGCAGCTTCTGTCAACAGTACTTAATCTAGTAACAAAACTTTTGCTAGAATACATAAACATAGGCTTTGACTTACAGGGTAGGACTTTAGCCCTAGATTAACATGCCCTTAATGTAGGTGCCTACCTGAAAGCAAACTCCTATCACAGGATACAAAGATCTAGGCAAGAGTAGATGGCCTGATTAGTGAATAACCATAGGACCAGCCACTAGGTTTCTACCTCAGGATGAGACAAATCATCCCCTAGTTAGCAAAGCCTATAATGAGAACTTAGACATACACTTGCACTTACAAACCAACACATATACTTAGATGTCTTACTGCTGATCTGGACTCCACCTGCTGTTGTTGTTTCAGATAAGAATATTTGGAAACAGTTAACCACAAGGAGCAGATTACTTCTGCCAAATGACTAAGTTTCTTTATATTCATCTTTGGTTCAACTGACTCCAAAGTAAAATGCTGATAGTAAAACTAAGTTTCCTTCGCACACATTGTGCTTAATTATTTATGCAGCTGTCCTGATAGCATATTAACTGCTCCATCCTACACTATTACTTGGACTTGACATTTTATTTGAAAGATAACTTGGGAATAACAAAATTTGATCTGCATCTAAAATAGTATTTAATGCAAGAATTGTCACAAACTCAGTCTAGCACTGCATAATGTAACCAAAGTTAGTCGATTGAGATTTGGCCTACAAACTATCCAATCACAAGACAGGACAAACAGGTTGGTGTAACCAATCTGAAGAACAATGCTGAAGCAAGAGATGCAACGGTAATCACAAGGGCAAAGATGAGTTGCATGAAACGGTGGTGGAACCAAAGTAAAGGAGAAAAGACCACTGAAGCAGATTTGACATATGAGATCCCACAAAGCCATAAGAAATACATCCCAGGGTGCCCATGGCCAGGGTTATCATGAGACACTCTATCCTTTTTGATATGTCACGATGACTGGGGGAAGTGCCCGAAAACTGCAACAAGGCACACATTCATGCACCTGTTCAAGATGGAGTGTGCAGGGAGCTATAGGCCAGTCAGCCTCATCTCAGTTCTCAGAAAGCTATCAAAGAAAATCCCCCCCAAAGTTGTACCCAAGCACGTGAAAGCAACTGGGAGCACACCCTGCATGGATTTGGCAGGGGCACATTGTGCTTGAATAACCTCATTGTCTTCTATGATGAGATGAATGGCTCAGTGGATGAGGGAAGAATACTAGATGCTGTTTAGCTTAACTTGAGCAAGGCTTTCTACATCTCCCATAGTATTCTTACAGCTAAACTGGTGAGATATGGACAAAGTGGACTATAAGGTGCTCTTGGGGAAAAAAGAAGGGGGGAAAAAAAACCTAAACACACACAAAAAAACCCCTAACCACAACACAAAACCCCCATTAACTTACCAGCAATGTCCTTCAAGGATCAATATTGTGCCAATACTGTTCAATGTCTTCATTAAATACCCAGACAATGGTACAGTATGCACTCTCAGCATTGTGCATAATACCAGATTGAGAGGGGGAGGAGGACACATC